AAAAACTTTGAATAAACCGAGCGGAAGTTTGTAAAATTAAAAATTGAAAACCCAAGTATTTCCTTAAAGCGGAAAGAAACTGTGCGTGTGCAAGGTGAGTGCGAAAGGCAACCATTGGAATTATTCATGGTCCTTCGCAGCCAACCCTGGCCTAGCTCCAAAAAAATAAATTAAATTAATAAAAACCACAAAAAAAAATCGGTACTCGTACGACCGTAAAAACACAACAAAAAACAACTTTAACAGTGGAAAAAAAGCTATAAACTAAAGTGCACGTATATACATACATATACGCAAAAAAAAAAAAACTGAGAAACTAAGTGCAAAAACAACAAACAAAAGTGTAAAAAGAGTGCACGTACATTTCGAAAACTCAAAATTGAAAAATAAAATAAAATTTTGGAAAAAACAAATAAATAATTAAAATACTTATGTACATTTCAAAAACCAATCGAGTGAACAACATCATCATCAAACCAAACAAATTGGCCTACATACTTCAGCCAAGCAACCGCCACCAGCAGCCATCAACAACATCAGCAGCCATCAACAGCATAAGCGGCAGCAACAACACCAGACACAAGAAGCCCCCAGGCAAAAAGGAGCAAAATCAGATACACATATACATAAATCAAGGAAAGTAGTAAGTAGGCAAATTTTTAATTTCCATAAAAATTTAAATAATATAACTTTCATATTCTTGAAAGTTATATTATTTCTAATAAACTGCCAACGGGCATACATACGTATATACATATATATATATATATAATTAAATAAAAGGCGTATTTATTCTCGCCAAAAAACGGTTTCACTAAAATTGCGGATATTTTCTTGCCGCCCAAAAATCTCACATCGGCAATTTGCCGCTATTGAATTTTGGTAGAAACATTCCGTTTTCCGGAAAGCGGTATATCTCCACTTACCGCCAATCTTATATATATATATAAGTATATGTACATATATACAAATTCTGATATATACCCCAAAATAAATTCCGTTGCAGTTTATATGCCTACTGTGTCCCACTGTGCAAGAACAAAATATTAGCACATTAAAATCACATACTTTCCTCTGCTTACCAATTTTTGCCGTTGGTCGCATAGTTCGTTGAACTTGGCTAAACAAATTGCCGAAAAATATAAGTGCACTATTTCCCATATATCATATGTACATACGTTAGCACATATAAACATTTTTACCAGTTGCATTTTCTGCAACTATTCGTATAATAGCTAAGAGAGTCGCTGCTATTTATCGAACAATACAGTCCACACGTACCAAGCGCACTCTAGCTTATTTTAATTTATTTCAATCTTGCTTTTCTCTGCTGCACTCACCAAGCTAAGAGAACGTAAATCAAGCCCGCTCTCTCAGCGGTGAGCGGCTCTTTACGTATTATTATATCCACTTGTGCATTCCCGCACACATACATACATACGCACTATAATCAAAACAAATTCTCTGTTGTTTTCGTTTCTGAACTCACCACTGCTGTGACAAAGCATAGCTTAGCCATATACTCGGCTTCATACGTAAATATTTGTACATACATACGTACGTACATTTTTACATTCTACATATTCTGCACTTTTGTACATACGTGCTAACAAAGAATATTGTCACACGAATATTATCCATAACGCGATAAGAAGTGAGTTCAAGATATCAGATACATGCAACCCAGTAGGGAAAGCTCCCGAATTGCATTGGTCTAGATAGTGATAAATAACCATTACTTTTTCAGTATTTACATAATTACCCAGTGGGAATTAGGAGCACGTAATAATACCTTATTAGCAACTTACTCTTCACCTGGCAGTCATTACCATTTCCCTGCCGAACGTCCCTTACTTTTACAAAGGCATGGCCGCCTTATGTAAGTAGGAATTTAGAATGTACATTTGGTATCAGACATACTTCTGAGCCGCTTTACAAAGTAAGTTACGTGTAATGCAGAACAGTCGCTCGGAGTAGTTCGGTGCTTGGAAATAACTTCGGCTGCACGTTATTTTGCAACTGACAACGTAATGTGTCTTCGAAGGTGTTCATTTTGCCCTTTACTAGTAGATGACATTGGCCATGTTGACAATTTTGGTACTAAAAACTGAAAGAAAACATGGCTTACCTCGCAAGGTGCTTACCTATTTTCCCAGTGGGTAGTTATATCACATTAAATATTTATACATACGTATATTTCACCACGTATATAAAAGTGAAAAGTGTTTGTGATTTTTTTTTTTCTCGTACTGAAATTTTTCAAATCCAAATTCCGCGGATTTAATTGGGACGCTCCGTTTTCCACGTAATAAAAAGTGCTGAACCAAAAATTAAAGCAAATATAATTTCACGTAATTTGCAAGAAACAAAAAACACAAACACCGCCACAAAATCTTAAAATTCTTTTCCTGATTTTCTGTGGCACAAAGTGCAATTTTTACTCGTTTGACATATATTTTTCTAATTTTTGCGAACGTTATCTGGGTGGTACTCAGTAAAATTTGATAAATTTTTCTCTCAATTTTTTATACGTGTGACCTTCCACAGCATTAAAAATGCCACTTGGACACAGTCCATCAAAAATGTCTGAAATCGAGACAAGGTCAAAAACTGCTTCGCAAGAAGCCACCGGTGGTAAGAGGGAACCCTCACCGCGCCCGAAATCTAAAACTTTTGACCCATCCGCTCAAAAGTTTATAGCGGAAAGTGACAGTATCATGAGATACTGTGCAAGATTCAGTGATGCACCGATCCAAGACCACACTGAATCATATCTTATGATAAAAGACAAATCACTAGATGATTGTTGGGCACGGCTTCAGTCCGCCTATGATTTGGTTTTTTCAAAGCCAGATGACAGCCTACCCGAAAACTTTAAGAGTTCGGTAGAAGGCAAGTACTTCACTTGCCTTGAATTATATGAGGTGACCAAAGCTAAAATTGCCGATCAACTGTCGTTGATTAAAGCAATCGCCGCACCGAGTCCACCACCCCGCGTGGAACACACCTCGGCAGAGGCAAACGTTTTTCTTCAAGTCCCACCTTGTGACACGGAGACATTTTACGGTGGTTACGAAGAATGGCCCGCTTTTCGTGACATGTTCACAGCGGTGTACATCAACCACCCGAAGCTCTCCCGTGCTCAAAAAACTGTATCACCTCCGGTACAAAACTCAAGGAAAAGCCGGTTCCATCGTCAAGCAATACCCGCTCAGCGATGATAACTTCGAGCTGGCCTGAAAGCTTTACGGTCACGATACGAAAACAAACGTATCTTGGTTGACAGCCAAATTAAAATTTTGATGACTTTGCCGACTATTCAATCCGAGAATAGCGAGCAACTTCAAAGGCTGCAAACATCAATTAACAACTGTATGTCAGTTCTTAATTCCCAAGACGTCCAGACAGACAGTTGGGATCCCATATTGGTGTACATTTGCTCATCCAAATTTCCCAAAACCACACTGTCACTTTGGGAACAATCTCTCTCTTCTCGAAGAGATTTACCCTCATGGTCACAAATGGACGATTTTCTTACTTCAAGATACGAAGTAGTCGAAAGACTTAACCGGCTTCATCCAAGCCAAAATAAACAAAAACCAGTCGCTCATCAAAATGCTGCGCAAAACAGGGCCTTTGAACAGGACTCAAACCTTTGTGGCAGAACCTAAGAGGGAACCAACTTGCTCTTACTGCAAGTCCCCTCATCCCATTAGAGTCTGCCCACAATTTAAGCGAATTTCGGTACCGAACCGAGTACAATTCGCAAACCAAACCAAGCTGTGCAAAAACTGCCTTGGTAATACCCATAGCACTAATGAGTGTCCGAGCAAGTGGTCATGTACACATTGCCAACAACGGCATCACTCCCTGCTGCACATGAACCCCAAACCACAATCTCGACACTCCAGTGCGCGAGCGAATGAAACCGCCGCACAACACACTACTGCCCAGTCGACACCTCCCGCTCGACAAGCGCAGTCAAGCTCCGATTCCAGCGAGCAACCGTGCTGTTCCAAACAAGCACAAATACAATCATTGCACACCGACAATGATAGCAAAATTCTCCTTCCAACTGCCATAGTCGCAGTTGAACACGAGGGTGAATTGTTTCAACTTAGAGCCCTGATTGATCAAGGCTCACAAAGAACTTTCATTTCCTCGAAAGTTCAAAAACGGTTGAAACTACCATTCGAACATTCCAAGTTCGAAATTTCCGGCATGGGTGGACATGTAGTACAAAGCTCCTCAAAGCTTTGTCCACTCACATTGGTAGCACCAAAAACCATGCAACGGATAAACACACAGGCTATCGTGTTACCTCAGCTCACGAGGCACATGCCTACATTCACCATTAGCCGTGAAAACTGGCAGCAATTCAAGATCCTTGAACTTGCTGACCCAAGTTGTCACATACCAGCTCAAACTGACATGGTAATCGGCAGCGATATACTTCCACAAATCCTGCTGGAAGGTATACAAAATATTTGCGACACAATACTTGCGCAAAAAACAATATTTGGCTGGATTCTCAGTGGTCCAATAACCGAAAATGTGGTGTCATTCTCGACACAAGTAGAAGAGTGCTCGAATGCAACTCTCAGCTCTCAGCTTCGAAAGTTTTGGGAAGAGGAGGAGATTCCACAACCTCCACAAATTTCCCCGGAAGATCAGGCTTGTGAGCATATATATGCAACAACAACGACTCGTGCCCCAAACGGTCGATACATTGTTCGACTTCCATTCAAGGAAGAATTTCCAAAAAAGCTGTCTCTGGGCCACTCTCGGTCTGCTGCACTTCAGCAGTTTTTTAGCATGGAGCGATCGCTTCAGAAAAAAGGAGACTTAGGCACAATGTATAACAATGTGTTGCAAGAATATCTCGACCTCGGTCATATGGAGCACACGAAGCCATGTGAGATAGTAGCTAATGGCAAATACTTCTCATTCTACTTGCCACACCATGCGGTCGTCAAACCAGATAAGGTAACCACCAAAGTTCGCGTGGTATTCAACGCCTCAAAAACATCTGGTTCAGGAAAATCCCTGAATGACGTGTTGCACACTGGTCCCACACTCCAGCCAGATCTCATGCTGCTCATTCTGCAGTGGCGAATGCACAGATTCGTGTTCAATGGCGACATTGAAAAAATGTATCGTCAAATACTCATCCATGAGGACGATAAAGATTTTCAGCGAATCTTATTTCGCACATCGGCTGACTCTCCTGTCACCGATTATAATCTTAAAACCGTAACGTTCGGGGTTAATTGTGCACCATACCTCACTATCCGTACCCTGCATCAATTAGCAGATGATACGATAGCGACATTTCCCTTGGCTGCCACAATACTTAAAACCGAAACGTATGTGGATGACATCCTATCCGGAAGTCATGATATTGACAACGCCACTGAATCACTTCTTCAAGTGATCAAAGCGCTTAAGTCAGCTGGTTTCATACTCAAGAAACTAACGGCCAATCATCCGCCCATCTTAGAAAAATTTCCAAAGGAGGATCTTCTCGACTCCAACTTTTTGAAATTTGAGAGCGCTTCCACAACCAAAACTCATGGTATACAATGGAACGCACTCACCGATAAGTTTTCCTACACCATTCTGCCTGCATCGACATCGAATGCCGTCACAAAGCGACAAATCTTATCCTCTGTCGCAAAACTTTTTGACCCGGCAGGATGGCTATCGCCAGTGATGATTCAAGCAAAGATTCTTCTTCAAGAACTTTGGCTAGATGGCGTTGATTGGGACGAATGTGCCAAACCTATATCTTTAGCAAAATGGCAACAGTTCGCAGAAAATCTGCCAGCTATCTGCCACATCGAAATCCCTCGATGGGTTAATTTCACTCCGGGGCAAGATACCCAAATCCACGGGTTTTGCGACGCCTCGGAAAAAGCATATTGCGCTGCGATTTACATCCGCGCAGATGCTAGCAACCAAAGATATTCCACTCTCTTGGTTGCAAAAAGCAAAGTCGCACCATTGAAGACGGTAAGCTTGCCACGCCTGGAGCTGTGTGGTGCAGTCTTACTCGCAAAACTGGTCGCAACTGTTCGAAAACAGCTCAAATTGGAATCGTGCAACATATTCTTATGGTCAGATTCAGAGATTGTGCTAGCTTGGCTTGAAAAGCCACCATGTACATGGAAGACGTATGTATCCAATCGTACCTCTCAAATCCGGGAATATCTTCCAACCGGTGCATGGCGCCATGTTTCCAGCCAAGATAATCCAGCCGACCTCGGCACCCGTGGGTGCAAACCGCAGGATTTGGCGAATTCCCCACTCTGGTGGCACGGACCAACATGGCTCTCTTGCCACATGGTGGCAAGGCGCAAGGTGGAGGCATATCACGCGCTCGAAGAAGAGGTCGATTTTCTTGATCGCTTTTCTTCTTTCTCTCGAGCACTCCGCGTGACTGCGTACATGTTCCGCTTCGTGAGCAATGCCCGCAACAAATCAAAGGGGGTAGCCGCAATCACCTATCCACATCTGACACATAACGAATTTCAATATTCAAAAATTCATCTTATCAACGCAGCGCAATCACGCCATTTTCCGAGCGAAAAAAGCGCTTTGCAAGATAAAAAGCCACTTAACAAAAAAAGTCCTCTTATTGTTCTCAATCCTTCGTTGGACAAAGACGGACTTTTACGGGTTAATGGCCGATTAGCACATTCCACATTAAGCTATAATGAAAGGCACCCAATAATTCTCCCTACCGAATCGAGGTTCTGCCAGCTATATTTGGAGTTTTTACACTCGCTGCTTCTTCACGCAGAAACACGATTAATGCTCCAAATGGTAAGGCAAGAGTACTACGTACCAAAGCTGAAACCTCTAATTAAAAAATGCATCTTTCAATGCAAAGTGTGCACGCTGTACAAGCAACAAACACGCACCCAAATAATGGCCGCTCTACCCCCTGAGCGCTGCAGTTTCTCACTCCCATTTTCCACAACGGGAGTAGATTTTGCTGGGCCATTCCACATTAAAGCATCGGTGCTAAGATCTACAACCCTTATCAAGGGATACGTTGCAGTTTTTGTCTGCTTTTCCACAAAGGCAGTGCATCTCGAGCTATGCTCGGATCTTACAACCGAGGCTTTTCGAGCAGCATTCGCCCGCTTCGTTGGCAGACGAGGTTTTCCCTCAAAAATGATGAGCGACAATGGAAAAACGTTCATTGGCGCCCAGCGCGCAACAGAACGCGACTTCGTTAAATTCCTTAACGAATGTTCCGCAGACATTGTCAAAAAATATTCCCCTCAAGGCATCAACTGGCAATATATACCACCCAGCGCCCCCCACATGGGCGGCTTGTGGGAATCTGCAGTGAAAAGCTTTAAAATCCATTTAAAGAAAACCGCTGCAACCCACAAGTTCACTTTCGAAGAATTCACGACGCTTCTGGTGCGAATTGAAGCAGTCCTCAACTCGAGGCCTCTATCCGCACTTTCTCAAGACCCAGCTGATATGACAGCACTTACTCCGGGTCACTTCCTTCGAGGTGCACCGCTATTGGCCATTCCCGAGCCTAATGCGGAAGACCTCTCTCTACTAAACCGATGGGAGAAAGTCAAAGCACTTCACCACCAATTTAGTCGCCGCTGGAAAGAAGATTACCTCAAAGATCTTCAGAAGAGGTACAAGTGGAAAACTCCACAGCGCGACCCTCAGCCAGGCGACATCGTCGTGATCAAAGAAGATTCACTCCCCCCCACCGAGTGGCGATTGGGACGAATCGAAAACGTTCGCCATGGCCCTGATAACCACATACGTGTTGTGGAAGTCCGTACACAAAATGGAGTTATCACGCGGCCACTTGTCAAACTGTGCTTCCTTTCAAAAGCATAATAAATAATTCTATACATCCTTTCCTTTTGTATATTAAGGGTCTTAACTTCCCGTTTAAATATTGTACCCAAGTACTTCTCGTTTCTCTGCCTTTGCTTCTACTTCCAGATCGAAGACATCATGGCAGCACGGAAGGCATGCCCCCTGGCTCCAACGGCAGAGACAGACAACTGCCTACAATGCCGGCTCTGCCACCGGTACCACGCATTGCGGACGTGCCCGGCCTTCAAGGCGATGAAGCCGCCGCAACGGTTGGGAGTAGCCCGCGCGCAAGGCTACTGCGTCAACTGCCTTGCGCTCACCCACACCACCGGGGAATGCGACTCGCCGGGTAGTTGCAAGACCTGCGGGCTAGCGCACCACACGCTGCTGCATGTGGCAGCCAACACGCATGCGCGCACGGGGCCAAGGGAACAGGGGCCCAAGAAGAGGAAACCGGCCACAAAGGCCCCAAGGAGCGTCAAGCGGTGCGCACCGCCGAAGAAAAAGGCGCTGAAGAAGGCGCAGAAGAACCCGCGCAACCATGCGCCGCAACCGCCGCGCAAGAAGACCGCCCAACGGACGATCGCGCGCACGCCCCAAGGCCTACAAACGGCCAATTTCCAGGGCCGCACCACCCACCGCGTCCTGGGCAACACGATCCGCGCCCTGAAAGAGCTGCAGGAGACTCTAAGCAACGCATTCCTGCAGGGCGGGGACGATGTCTAAGCCGCCGCTTAAGCCGAGTTCAGCGGCCGTGCGCGCGCACTTTGGCGGCAGTGGAGTCGACGCGACTCCGAAAATAATTACCGAGCGCGCACGGCCGCCTCCCAATCGTCGTGCGAAAATCCGCACAAACCAGTTCAGCTACTCAAGT